CTCTTGCAGAAATGAATTTAGCATCGAACATACGGCTAGCGCTGTTTTTGTTGTCTCTTGGCTAGTTCTGTAGTTTTGCCGTTTAGACAAACGAAGAATTGTATGTATACGGATTAGTTAGAAATATATGTTTTTAAAATTTTCAACACGCAGAATTGTATTCTTTTCAAAATCTCAGCCTCGGGTTTGTTCCTAAAACATTCTTAAAATTTCGCAAATATATTCTTATGGCAAAAAAAGAATGTAATCTCAGATCGAGCAGTTTAGACGTTTCTACCGGGGTTTCTACATTGAAAACAAAAGTCATTTTCAAAACAAGCTTAACGATAGAAACATAACAACAGTACGCACTTTACAAAGAGGTTATCTCATAATTCACTCGCACAGCTTGCACGGATCGAGAGGCTTCTAGAAGTGTTACTTGTTAGGTCTGTACCGTTCGGGTAGAAATCTCGAATACAGATCCAGAAATCCCTGTTTGAAAGCTGAATTACGCAATCCATACAGAATAGGATTGCACATACTGTTCAGATAACCGAGAAGCAAGGCTGCGATATCGACGACACGAGGTAAGGGCCTGGGATGATACACATCGAAAAACATGGTTATAGCAAATGGAGCCCAACAAATGACAAACAGCGCCACTACGAGAAGAACTGTGTTTGTCATCTTAGTTTCTTCCGGTGTTAGTTGAAACTCTTCGGATTTCGATTTCAAATCCAGTTTGCAATGGCTCAGTCGGTTCACCTGTGGTCTTTCCGAGTCAGCCATGTCGCGGTCTAGTTTGTTATCTGGATGGTTGCTGTTTTGGGTTTCCTTTCCTGCTAAAGGCGCTTCGAGTTGAGGCGGCGGTGCGAGGTTATTCCTTGAAACCGCAATTCGCCTTTTCAAGTTCTTTGTGAACGTCAAAATGTTGTAATATGAAAAAGCGATCGCGGAAAGGGGCCCGAAAAAGCAGACTGAGATCATGAAATACATGAAGTACACATCTGAAGGCCAGTAAACGAAACAGTAGGATTTTCCAGGAATGAAGCGGTATTCTGCCCAGCCGAAAAGTGGAGGAGAAGCCAAAGATATCGACACGACCCACACTGCAGCAGCGTAGAGCAAACTTTTCTTCTTCGAGAAAGTCTTTTTGTAAGTGTTCCACTTGACGATGTAAAAATATCGGTTGATAGCGATCATACCAAGAGACATCACAGACGCAATGAAGGATAAAATCGTGAAAAAGCCGAGCGCCACACAAGCTGTATCACCGAACAGCCAGCGTCCTGTAATGACCGTCACTACAGTGAATGGAATGCTTAGAACTGACACCATGATGTCTGCCGCGGCCAGGTTTAGAATGTACAAGTTGGCGATGGTTTGAAGATCTTTGTTCTTGTAAACGATGATGTATAAGCTCAAGTTACCGATTAGAGCCACTAAACAAATGAAACTGAGGATGGTCGTCTCGGTGATCGTGACTGACAGACTTAACGACATTTCGGAGCGTTAAATTCCGCGAATCAAAACTAATGTATTAGAGAACGATCTGAGGTCGTGCTGTAAATGTCTTTACCGACTGTGCATGCGACTTTATGGATATTCTAGTCCGTTTGTGATTCAAAAGCGTCATTTGAATAAAAATGTAAGGACAGAAAACAGGAAATAGAAGTCTGGTTTCGTCTAAATGGGGTGCTTTTGGAAAAAATTATATTCAAGAGTAAGCAAACGATTAGTTTACAATATAAGTTCAAATGCTTTTGTCTAAGGTACGATTAAAGTGGAAATAGTGTAATAGCTGTCATATGAAAACACAAAAATTCCCTTTTTTTGCTTGGCTCTAAAATAGACTTAAAAAAACGTTTAAAAAATGGACGCATTTGGAGAATTTCCTCTGACTGGCTTTATTAATCCGCAACCAAAAGGTTTCTGTTTCCTTTCCATTAAAATGGCCACTAAGTTCGACAAGAGACAAAGGATGTATTTTGTCTCTGTAATTAATGTTTTTCAGACTGCTTTGAATTTATTTCTGCAGGTGGATATTTTTGTTATCTCGCACCTGTCGTAAACAGTAATAACGTAATTGATCACGTGATCTTCTGCCGGGCAACAGTTTCATCCCCAACCTCGTTCCCAGGGTCTCTCATCTTCCCGAGACCTTGGGAACGAGGTTGTTTCATACCCAGGAACACTCACTTCTTTCAGCGTTCTTAAACGTTAAGACCGCCTGCTTAAAGCACTTTAAGATTTAAAACTGGTGTCTTGCATGTACGTGCTTCTTGTCGATGTTGGTAAACCTGTCAAGAACTGTGCACATTGTTGACGAAATACGTCAAGGGAACTACGTAAAAGGAAATTTGGTTGTGTTGTTTTCCTAGTGAATTCCTCACAATGCCACACCAGCCACTTCCTGAACTTTTAGTGGGCGTTAAGAAAGAAATTACCCTCAATTAAAATTTGCCCCACCAGAAAGTTGGAATACGTGGGTTTGATGTGAAGATTTCAGACTTGAAAGAAGACTTGACTGAATAACCCAACTACAGTAACAGGGCTCGAAATTAACTTGTTCGTTCGGGACCCAGCTGGCGAGTAACGGAAAAATTTCGGTCGCCAGATCGTAAATTTTGGTCGCCAACTTATCTTATATATAACTCACACAAGAACACGATTTTATAGTTTACTTTGCATGCAAGAAAAGTCACAATTGAAGAGCGAAAACAAGTAGAAACAACACGAGTAACACTTAGTTATAAAGCTACCGTTGTTCTCAGGTGATATGTCTCTGGTCCGAAGGTGATGGTTGTCATTTTAAATGAAGCGAAGAATAAAACGTTTTAAGTCCGTGGTTTTCATTATGAGACAAACACGGGTCCTTGCTTATTTTCGTATTTTATTCAACAACTGATGAAGGATTCAAAGTTTGGATTAACATTTTGGCTGAATCTTCATTCTCCACGTAAAAACTCACGTAATTCCTTCAACTGACTGGTATCTGCCGCCATTTTCACGGCAAATGAAAAGCACATGGTGTTGAAGTGCACCTGCGAACCCAGTTTTGGAAGAAGCCGCTGAAACAATATGACGCGCCGTGAACGCAGTGTCGACGTGTCGAAATACGTTCAAGTTTTTCGATTATCTTGTAATATTCAGACATTATTTTACTAGGGACGGAAAGGTGAGTTGTATACCAGCTACCATATCCGATTGATTTCCCAATATAAAGATATAAAAACAAAAGTGGTGTCGTGGTTTTCTTTAGTTATCGGACAAAACGCGAGTCGCCAGTGCTCAATTTTTGGTCGCATTGGTGACCAGTGAGTCGCAATTTCGAGCCCTGCAGTAATCTAACAATTTTTAACTTCATATAAACGGTTCAAAAAGCCTGTTTTATTTGTGTGATCGCCGAAATGGAGATTGTGTTATAAATATATGAATAGAGGTTGGTTAAAAAACACTGGCACTCAAAAACAGACCAATGAATAAGGTTGCTCTCTTAGCGTCTTATTCCACCTTGACCAAAATTATCGTGTTACTGAACGGAACAGACGCCGACCAAACCGATTAACAGAATTGTCTTCTTGATGCTTAATCCATCTTTGTTTAATTTTTCTCCGAATATTTTACAGTGCTTTATGGTCTGTGAATACGAACGATGCCCATAATCTGATTGATGAGGCGACGGTAGTAATGACAGGGATTGTTGATTCATTAACACAAGCCAGGTGACTGCCTCTATGTCGTATACTGACTTCGGATAAACTCGGCAACACTTCGGAGACGTTCGCAGGCTAACGACTGGACGAAGGGCTTCCGACTGTCATGGAAACCGGAGGAGTGTTGCAATCAGCCGTCGCTGTTCGAATTTAAGACAATACTGCTTCAAGACAGTAACTTCTTTCTTTGCTCTTGGAGTAAAAATTCCAAATGTTCCGCTCGCTTCATGGCCGCCTGTGCAAAAACAGAAAACGAGCGAATTTCAAAACAAAGCAAACGACACTATTCATGAAAAGCTGACCGTTAACTTGAATACATCTAACAAGCGCTAGCATGGGAGTCAAATGATGCCTGTAATTCCATGGGGACTACATGGAGATGACCCATGTTGGTAACAAGAACTGACCTTTGTAAGGGCACTTTTCTAAAATAAAATTCATTATTATGGAATAACCTACCCGAAGGGCTTAGGACTGATAATCTTAACCTGTCATGCTCCAACAGACAATGCAGAGACTTTTATAAATGCAAGAACTTTGATCCTGACCACCCAAATGTTACCGGCTGGGCGTAATAGTAGCCCTTTGATGTTAAATTGACGCTGTATTTAAACAGCTTTTTTCTTTGTTTTGTTATATATTTTGCTTAGACTAGCACGTATGGTTCCTATGTTCCCTTTTAGTCCTTCCTCGCTGCTTTTCTTCTTTTCCTTTTTCTTTTGTATTATATAATTTATTACTGGTATGTTTTCTTATGGCTTATAATTTGTGCAGTGAAAATAGATTATATTAAATTAATTCAAATTAAGTTGATAGCAACGAAACGATATGATGGATTCTCTCACCTGGTGTTGTTCTCGTAAAGTTTTCAATGTTTCCTCCTTTTTGGCGATGGCCTGCTTCACCCTAACGAACAAACAAATGCATTAACGGTTGCTAGCAGGTGTATCAAACAAACACACTGACTTTTACCCGGAATTTTTGTCACATTGCACCAAGTATTTTCTGAAGGCGCGATGGCCTCATGGTTAATGCGCGCGTCACCGGATCGAGAGGTCCGGGTTCGAGCCCTGGCTGAGGACATTGTGTTAACTACATCTAGCAGTGGAGAATCCCCACTGCTAAAATGGGACACCTAACTAGAACTATCTAAAAATAATATACAGAAAAGTCTTATAAGAGAAATTAAAATTATGAGTTACAAAGATGGCAGCCACTACATCCATCTAGGATGTTGTCTAGATCTAGCCTCCGTACGTGGGTCTTAAACTGCTTGAGATTTATCGCCGATCTTTCTTTATTTGTTAGTTTGCTCCATAGTCTTGGACGTAGATATCGAATTGAATAACAGTTGATAAACCCAGGTCACAACACACTAACCATTAGGCCATCACACCTCCCATAATGACCAACAAAACTGAACTACTGAGATTTCAAACTAACAAATCATCCCTCACAAACCTCTTATGCACTTCATCCATCTCCTGCTCCTTCTCTCTAGTGACCCGTTCTATTTCCAGTCTGTGTCGAGCCTTCATTTCACTCAGTTCAGTTTTCAGACGCTTGTTGTCTTCATCAGTTGTCACAAGCCTGATGTAACGAGACAGAAATAATAATAATAAAAGAAAAACATACACAGTGGACTATTTCTAAGGCGGACATCCTGAGTAACGGTTCTACATGTAGCTGTCTGCCTTTGAGATGTGTCCACCTTTGAGCGGTTGATAATTGAGTGTTGTAACACCAAAACCAAAGTACTACGATTATCAGTTGAGCAAGGCGTGACGGAAGTTTAGTGACGCACTTTTGGCCTTAAAATTGCGCTGTTGTCACGGGCAACTTACCTCGTTTCCATTGGTAACAATATCAACAGACGTGCGTCGCCTGTCGCGTCGCCTACAATTTCGCGCGCTTTGCTGCCGATGACGTCAAAGACCGGCAAGTTGCCGCTGGAAAAGGAGCCAGTTGCCCGCGACAACAACACGATTTTCACGTTGAAACCTTGTGACAAAACTTTCGCCGTGCCTCAGTCAACCGATAATCGTAGTAACCACACTAGCACATCACAGAGGGTATGTTTATTAGAAGAGGTTGCTTTTTCATCATTATCGATAAGACCATCAACAAAAGCAATTCACAATGCCTTTAACATCGTTCAGAACCAGGTAACTAATTAAATGGCAGGTCTGAAGGGTAGGGAAAATTGCAGATTTTGGTCTAAATGGCGTAAGAGTTTTAGGAAGCGGGCCGGACACCCCCAGCCATTTTTTTTTCCCAGCCAATTTTTCTGCAAGAAGACATTCGATGCTGATCGGTCACGTAAAGTTGCATACCTGTCAGCAAACTCCTGTCGAATGATGTCAGCCACTTTTCCTCTTTCCTCCTGCAGTCTTTTGGCCACTTTGTCGATTCCCTCCACTTCTTCGTCCTTCTGTTTCACCGTGCTTTTTAACCGCGCATTTTCTCCGTCAACCTCGGATAACCGAGCCTAGATACCGCAATGAAAGCAGATAAACAGTAATTGCGAATTTCTATTATGGAATGAATGGGTTTCCATATACCACTCCCAGTCCTAAGTTTTTCTTGTATTCTATACATAAATGCTTATTGCAAAGCTGGTACATCGTTTCTAGCGTCCACTATTTTCAAATTGATTCTACTGTCTGTATATCTTTAAGTGGCCGACCGACCGACCGGCCGACCGACTGACTGACTGGTGTACCAAAAGAATCAAAATGTTTCAACTTCTGAAAAGACGAAGTTGCGGAATGAATCACATGACGGTTACGAAGGAGTTTTACAAAGAGCAATATAACCGCGGTGAAAGATTCTATTCGAGAAATCAAACACTGGTGCCGCCGAATCTGGCACTTACCTTCATGTTGTTGTATTTCTCCTGCATATTCCTCTCAGATTCCTCCAGTTCTTTCAGTTCAGATTCGTATTTGTCTCTCACCCGCCTACAAACGCAATAAAAAGACAATTTTCTTTACCAAAGCACTTTTCATACTGATCCTGAAGCAACAACAGCACAACAGTTCGTCTGAAGTGGGTGGAAGTGAACTGTTACTGAGGAGGGAAGGGNACAATTTTCTTTACCAAAGCACTTTTCATACTGATCCTGAAGCAACAACAGCACAACAGTTCGTCTGAAGTGGGTGGAAGTGAACTGTTACTGAGGAGGGAAGGGTCAGAAGAACTCGAACCCCACTAACTAGAAGTCTCCCTTCCCACCCTCTCTTCTCCAGCCTCCCGTAGCTTTTCCGATCTCTTTACTCCGTGGTTGCCGCCCCTTGTCCCAACCCATCTGTTGGTGGAGCATAGGACCCAGGCAAAGACAGCCCCGTCCTGTCAGACTGCTTACTTGATTCTGTTCTCTGCAGCTCGTTCACATTCCTCTCTCGCCAGCGAGGTCTCTTCTTCCAGTCTTGAAATCACCATTTCAATTTCCTAAAGAATTTTAAGTGTTACAGAACACGTCAAGCCATTTCCAGCTGAAATCATACAACCACTGCAGTTGCACACAGTGGATTCAGCCAATTACGAGTCACCATAAAACACGTGACCACCGCTGGTCAACAGGTTTTACAACACAATAGTCACGGGAACGGTTAGTTGCATTACTGTATATTCTTACTGTTCTGTCGACATCTTACTCGCGAATTCGTAAGGTGGAAAAAACCAAACAAGTCATCAACACCATCGAAGCTACTCATGCCAGTTTACCCATTAGGTCACACGCAAACAACTGGTGTTACAAAGTTTTTGGATCGAGTGCAATAAGTTTAGAAACCTCCTCGAGAAATAAAGGGCAGATATGTTACACCAGCAGGAAACCACCTGTCCTAAACAGCAGAGATTACGACACCGCACCGTAAATCGAGCACATGAAGTGTTTTTAGTTTGTTCCTGGTTGGCTGTTGAAATTCGAAATAGACCACACTATTCACTGATTTACAAACTTCACGCAAAGTTGCTTGCCATGCCCTGTCGCAAGTGTGAAAGACAAGAAAAAACCAAATATACTCACCCTATCACGGCCCTCGCGGACTGCTTCTTTCAACTCCCGCTCTTTAGTCATTAGCATGGCGTCCTAAAAGATGAAAAGAAACCACTTTGCTAACCATGTCACGCTGTACTCATTTTTTCATGGTTAACAACTTCTCACAGGATGAGAGGTGATGTAACGTGGGTGTGATAACAGAACTCTACCCCAGTTGTATGGCTGGAGTTTTGTACTTGCAAAGGAGTTCTGAGTGTTTCCAAAATGTTTTCCGTGCACACTAAAACGCAAAGCCGCCGTTCTCAAATTTCTCCAAAAACGGTCCGTTTTCGTGCCGGACTAGCGCAGACGGTAGGCCTAACCGTAGAGATAAAGCTGCGTTTTCAAATTTCTCCGACGTAGTGTGGACGGGGCGTAAATTGAGAAGGCAAATTAATCGACCATATATGGTTGGAGTTTGTACCTGTTTCTTCATGTAGTTCTCAATCCAGCCTTGCTTCTCGATCTCCAGTCTTTCCTTCAACTCGTTCATTTCCAACTACAATTAAAATAAATTCGAAATTTACTTCAATTAACGGCTTACTCCTCACTCCAGTAATATCACTTCATACCAGTACACTCGTCCTATATATGACTCTTTGTTTTTTGTACAATCTTTTGTTCTTACCTGGTGTTTTCTTTCCAGATCATCGATTGTTCTTTGATGGGATGTTTGCATCTCCAGAATAGACTTCTTATGGGACTCCTGCCACAAAAGAGACAAACACAAACCAAATTCAAAAATTGAACTTAGGAAACAGGTTGTGTTGTACTCTTAGAAGTACTCTTACAGGTTCGAGGCCTGTCAGAGTAGTTAGGGTTGAACTCTGGTTTCTTTTGGATTAATCCACAAACAGTTTTTACTCCTGAATCTTCTTAAATAGGTCCTTGATCTCTAGCAGATTATTCTGACCAGTATATTGTCAACAATAAGCCAGTATTCATTTCTCGGAGTACAGCAGACGAAAGTCGAAAGTTTCTAACCAAGGTTTTTGCCAAACAATTGTTCAAAACCAGTAGACTTTGCTTATGGTCGACCTAACTTCTGTTTACAAAGTCATATTGGCCATACTCAAGGTGTTCTTTGGTTGCCTGTGATTTCGAAACCAAAGCATACCCACTCACCTCCAGGGCTGCTCGTGCCTCATCCAGTTCTTGCCGCTGCTTTTGAGCCTGCAGTGCTACTCTCTCCTTCTCTTCCTGCACCTCAGCGTACAGCCGCCGTCTCTGCTGCTGAAAGGCTTGTTCCTCTTGCTCCAGCTGCTTCTCATATCTTAACGAAAAAAACAAAAAAACCCTCAAGTTGGCACCTTACTAGTAAATGTAGCCTGTGCCTGTGAAACGGTTCCGACTGGAAGGGTGCCGGTCTGACTGCGACTAGAAATGTCGAGAAGGAACTGGGTGAACTGGGTGATAGTGACGTGGCTGAGGGGGGGGGGGTGCAGTGGGGGGTGAGGTAGCCCTCTCCCACCTTCTCTCTCTTTTCTTCTCTTTCGCCTCGCTTTCTCTTCACCTCATTCTCGACTACACCATTTCAATCATTACAACGGGGATTTTAAAAGTCAAAAACAAGGCGAATTCTAAGAAGGAGAAGGACAAAAATCCAGAATTTACATAGTATAATTTGCTTTTGTCAAGTATTGATCATATTGTCAGTTAGCCTTCCAGTCAAACTCTTTCACGCATGCCAATTGTGAGTTTCGCTCTTATCTATTCTAATCCTTGTAAAATCCATCAGCGTTTCTTCACGAGCAAGTCGATAAACAGGATTTTAGTTCATTGTATGTAACTTATCTTTAGGCATGGAATTGTAATATATTATTAACAAAATTTGGTAAAAAATAACAAAAAAATTGCAAAAAAAATAAAAGTCCATAAGCAATAACCATGCAGTCTCAATGCATTTTTCATCGTTAATAGCCTATAATTTCTATAGGTTTGTTGTTTGTAATCCGTGTCAATCTTCTCCATTCTTCACCATCCTTGTTCTTTTATGGTTTATTACTATCTCTTTGGTGTTTTTCTATCTTAATAAACTACTATTTTCAGGTTTCCTTCAATTTAAAGGCGATTTTGTACGTGGCTTAGCTCCCTTAACAGTGAAAATGGAAACTACGAGAACAAAATGTACCTTTGTTGAGAGAGTTCTCTCTCCCGCGAGCAGGCGCTTTCCTTTTCTCTTTCCAGTTGATCTCTTAATTCTTCTATCTGTTGAATATATCTTCTACCTGCACGTTCATCAGCTTCAAGTAACTCCGCCTGCCGTTAAATCATTAACAATAACTAGCTATAGACCATGAGTTTACTTGGTAAAATTGCTCTAAATTTCTGGTAACTTCCGCCCGCAAGTCGTGAGAAAGTGTCAAGGTGGTTGGAAAATCGAAAGTTTCGACCTGCCGATAACAACAATCCTCAAAACTTTACGACACTCGGAAACTGGCGGCCTGAAGCGTAACGTGACTGATTGTATTTCTGGAAAAGACCGTCCAAATAACCCGCAATACCATATAATAACAAATGAAAGAACAGAACTGCCTCCTCTGCCATCATCAAATACAGTAAGGCCGCAAAGCACATAATCAATCAACTAATTAGTCAATCAGTCAATCAATCAATTACACAGACTTAATGCTTTGAATTTAAAGGAGATCGAATCAGAGCTCTTAAACAAACACCTAAAAATGCCTTTATGTGGTGTGTGTTTTCACTTTTGCCACGATTGTGTTCAGTCCAACCCGTCCAAGTCCACACCCTTAACTCTCATTTCCTCGCTCTATATTGGGTTGACCCCAGACGCGAGAGGAGAGTCTCCCTCCTGATTTTAACCCCTGTATAGAGCGAGAGAAGGACAGTTCAGGGCCTAAAGTGCTTAGCCCATCACTGCACTCGTTTTGACTACCCGGAAGTAGTTGGAATACCTGATGGGTAGATTTGAGTTTCTTCAATTCCGCTTTGTGTTTTGCGATCAGCTTCTGGATGTCAGGCTCCAATCCTTTGACAGTGACTTCCTGTTAAATCATAAAGAACGCTTGATACGAAAATCTACTGACAGACCATCATAAAAGCCAGGTATAAAGCGACTTGCGGCTAATCTTCTGCCAGTATCCTCCACTTCTCACCTTGATTTGCTGAGTTTTATCATTTATCCATTTCTCTCGTCTGAGTTTCTCTGCCGCCAGTATAACTTCCTTCTGTTTCTTCAATTCAACTTGATGACTGAAAAGGAACAATTAATTATCAAGCTTTACATTGCACCAACGAGCGCCATTCCGACGGCTTTTACATTTGACGACCCCTAATTGGTAAAAAAAAAAAAAACTCGAGCAACGCGCTCTCACAAATCAAAGACGGCAACGATGGTGCGTTTCTCGCCAATCAATTACTAAACAAAAGCCATTTAGATCACGTGATGTTTTTCGCGCTTAGGATAGGTTTACATTTTCGGCTTGGTTTCCATGTATTTCATTATTTCATTGCGGCTCACGAAGCACCCTTCGGGCTCGACACGCAATCCAAACGATCTATATATTACTACCTGACGTCAGCCATAGTTTCCTAGCAAGCTATGGCTGACGTAATTCTCATTGCAATTCTTAACCTCACATTTTAATGGTTTAATTTGCCTCCCCAACGAACGAACTTACTTTTCTTCCATTTGTTTGACTTTATCTCCATACTTCTTGTCTGTACTTTTAAGTTTGTTCACCACTTCCTCGCATCTCTCGCCAAGAACCTTTTTGTCGTCGATGAGTTGGTCAATGAACGACAAATGTCTCTGAATCGCTGCCTCGTACTCCTGTCGCTGTATCGCCAGGCGCTGTTTGGCGTCTTTCTCCATCTCCTTGGCTTGTCGTAACGTGAATTCACGCTGTTGGTTCTGATAGGAGAGGGAAGAATTTACTTAAAGATGCTCTGTCGCTCAAAGGTAAAGTCTGCATACAAGCCAAGTAGCCCATCAGGCCGGAGTTTATCCCGGTTTCTACAGCATGAAGCGACTAGGAGTATTTACTATTTCTACTCCCCCCTGGATGGGATGCTAGTGAATAGCAGGGTTACCCCCAGCATTAAATTCGCCGGTACCCATTTGTACTCCTGGGTGGAGAAAGGCACTGAAGCGAGTAAAGTGTCTTGCCCAAGAACACACTGCAACACAATATCCCTGGCCAGGGGCCTGTTTCTCGAAAAGCCCGGAAACTTTTCGGACCCGCAAAGCCATTTTTATTTAATCGGTATTTAAAGACAGAAGAGTATACGCCTGAAACTTCTTGATGAGGAGAATCTCTGTGCATAAAACAGCTCTGCAGTCACAGGGTTTGCGATTTTGCTCGCCGGAGTCGAGTGCACTAACCACGAGGCCACTGCGTCTCCACTTAAGATTTTGTTACGTACGTGTCGCCCAAGTTAAAGATAAACACATCAAGACCACAGGAAACCCAACAAGAATAGTTGATCTTGCAGAAGAATACCCAACAGATGTCACGAACCCATAAAGAGGCGACCATGAAATAGGATGAAAGGGGAAAAGGGCATACTGCATTGAAAATGGTTCAAGTTTTCAACTCTGGCTTGAATTCCTTTAAAATTTAACAAGGGATTGGAACTTGGAACAGCCGTTCGAATGAATGTTTTGGTAAAATTTCAGGCAGTCCAAGAAATTTTAATTATTCGCCTCCAAGAAGCCAATGGGGAAAAGATATAAAATTTGTTGTTAAGCAACGATTTTGTAATTTAGTGTTAGAAAAACGGTTAGTAACCATTTTGATACTACAGCACATTACATTACAGTTTTTTGGTACAGGGAGTCTCTATGCCACTATTTCAAAATGCACAAATTAAGAACTGCAAGACGCACTTCACCGTAAAATTCTGGAAAGTTTTATTTGGAGTGCTCCCTGTGGGATTTTACTAACCAAGGCTCTCTGAAGCAAGTCATTAGTTCTTTTCTTCTCTTCTAATTCTATCTTCACCGCCATCATGGCTGTTGTAACGTCAGAGGCTGCAGCTGCGGCCGACTCCAGGGCGGCTTCGTCCTTCCTACAGCAAGAAAAAGAATCGCCTGTCAAACCAAAGGCCACGAGCTACTAAATACATCAGAGTCAGAATTAATGGTAGTTTATTGAAAATCACAGATGAACGCTAGTTGGATAGACACAGGCTATGGTTTCATCCCCTTACGCCGGTATAATTTACAGTGTGTAGAAACACGTCTTACAGCGTACATAAACGGTACCACATGAAAGTATTTGCAACGGCTTTCATTTGAATGGTCCCAAACTAGGTTTTCATCCACAGACTAAAAGTTAGAACCATCCCTTTACAGCATAGTAAAGTGTAACACATGAAATTACTGCTCAGTAGCTTTCATTTAAATGGTCATACACAACATGAAGGTCTTATACACAGGCTAACAATTAGAAACACAGCCTAATGGACAGAAATTTACAGTACTCCTGCCGCCATATTTAGCACGTTATCTTCACAATATGTGATATAATTTGATGACTGGACAGCACGAATCAGAAACTCCTGCTTAAAACAGAACCTGTTCTAGTGACTACACTCTAGAAATCGTTTTTTTTTTTTAAATCTAAGTAGATGATACATTTGTTTGGTTTTACTTACTCCCTATCAACTGCTACAGACGCTGAGGTGCTTGATGATGGTAATCCACGAGATATGGCACCATCCCGCGCCTGACAAGAGCAAAACAAACGTAAAAACAAAGCATCCTTTTGAGCCAAGTTCTTGGCCTTCTTCATCACTCCGTATCAAACCATGTCTCACATTAAGCCTCAAGTGGTCACAGAGTAAGCACTGTTTTAAATATTCCTCATCCAGTTCATATTGGTGACTGAAATGCATAGCGCATCTTTTCCTCTGTTGCGCTTGCCTGGGATGGGGCAGCATATGTGTTTTCGGCGCATTTGCTTTTGGCATTTTCTTGGCCCTCACCTTTACTGGGTAGAACTATGTATCAAGAACTAACCATTGCTTCGAATGCTTCAATAAAGGCGGCTATGCACCTTTTGCCTATAGCCATATTTGTCTATAAATTTGTTTTGCTCAGTTGTTGCACAGTAATGCGAGCTCAGGCCAGGAAGCTGTGGGTTGCTATTCTTTGGGCAGGCAGAGAAGGCACAAAGCACTGTTTAAAAGATTGGGCCAAGGATGGAAATTTAAGAAACTTGCTAATGTATTAGCTGGGACTTACCTGACCTATCTCGCTGACAGCATCGTCTTCGGCCTTCTCCACTTCATCCAAGAATGTCAAAATACTCCTAAAAATGAAAAGAAATCATATTCTGTGCATGGAACACACGCCAGGCAAACAGCCATACACCTTGAACTGCAAAATCGTCTTAGAAAGATGAACACACTGAAATTAAGTGGCGACAACTACCTGATTGTAAATATTTCTTTGTGAAGGCTAGTAACAGGATTGGTATAGTATGTAATAACTGCATTATTAACTTCACAGTCGGTATAAGTGAAAAGCCAAGTTCAAAAAATAACATTTTAGGAATATGAAATAGACACTCTTTGGTTTGGATGTATTTGTAACACAATTTTAACATCATTAACTACATTTCGTCTTAGATTTGACTGACTTATTCATTTCACTATCACAATACTTTATTTTTATTTCCTGAAGTCAACATGAAGCGTGCATGCGTGACAGACAATACCTTAGTTTTTCAGCTGATAGAGCAGCACCTGACTGGCCTTGACTGCAGTGAGAGCAAGACATGAATTAGAAATGCTGTAAAGTTCACAACAGCAAACTGGGCTACAACGGAGCATACAGAGTCCTTGCACGTGTGTCTGACTGCAAAGGTGCTTGACAAGTACTCCTTGTTCTAACTATGTTAAATTGCATTTAACTGCATTTAAACAAGATTCTCAAACTCTTAGTCAGTCCAAGTACTAATTAAACAGATAACAAAATAAGTTAAATGAAGTTCTGAAAACTAACCTCTCTAATTTGGCTTTGTTCAACTGGTCCAGAGAAGCATAAGAGAGGTAAGGCTACGAGAGGAATACAAAAACAAAACCCCTCAGGATTGAGATTCCTGTACAGTCATACAAACAGGTTCAACTACATTGGCCATTTTTCTTATAAGAAAACGTATTGGCGTTTAGGCGGGACAAAAAGAAGTGGCCATAATAACAAGGTGACCGTATCAACAAGGTGACCGTAAGGCATGGTTCCACTGTATAATGTGCACAATCAAATCAAATGAATACCCCTTACCTTGTCTTGATCACCACCTTCAAAATCTTGCCCTACAAACATAAAGAATTCCAAGAAGGTTAAAAAAGTGCATACATGTAAGCCTTAATCACCTACATGTCAATACAAGTATGTGAACTGTTATTAGTGGAAACATCAGACACCGATAATGATGCAGATGGTATGGAACTCCAGTTCTCAAAACATGTGTCATTTCTTCAACTTGGAAGGATGTTATCCATTGACTACAGCTTATAATATTGCCATCATAACCCTAATAGGAGTTTCTAGCTATAAAGCAATCATTTAATATACTCTTAGATCCTGGAGTGGAGAGAGGGTATGCGCTGTATGGGTAATGTAACTTGCTCAGCAGCAACAAAACATTGTGCAAAATCTTGAGTCTGAAAATCTAACCATTAGTAAGAAGACTACAATGGATGCTACACAGAAAATACAGGCCAAGCCTATTGCGTGAATACATTTTAAGGGCTCATACCCCATCCACCAAATTTAGGTGCACTGTTCTCCTCCATGGGTAGTAGACTTGGTGGTTCTTCCTCCAGTTGTTTGAGGGACTCAAGGAGATCATCAAAGGTTGTCTTACTTTCTCCACCAACCTGGGAGCTGAAGAAATGCATTCAAGTAGCTTCAAAATAGGAAACCATCTTGGAAGTACATGTATTCAAACATTTGGAAATTATTCCCAGCAGAGCATTTGTCTACTCATGGGATGTACACTGTACCTTGTTACTGTTTTATCTGTGTCATCTGTGCGATCAGAGAAGAGAGGTCCTGTGGCTTGCTCATCAGCAGCAGAGGCAGCAGCACTCACTTGTGATTCTCGAGATTCCTGAGAGTAAAAAGCAAAACATAACTGCAGGTAGTGTTATTGTGGGTTAACACAATCAGTTGAAAATGGTTTAAATGTACCAAATGTATAAACGATGGTCATACAGTCGTGTGGCAACCACTACAGTGTAGGTCTTATGTATATACCGTACTTATAAGTAAATATTAGGAGGCATTAACTTCAGGAAAGCATCTGCATGTGCAACGGGTTTATGGTAACATGGTAACATTGCCACTTGCAGTAGGTGAGTGCAAATGGGAGGTGACAGGCTGTTTATGTTTATGGGCCTAATGCTAAAATGTCAGTATCACATATGGTTGTTAATATATCTTCACTTATTGAGAGCAACTCCTTATGGAAGGTGACAGCTTTACAAGAAGGTGGCCACTTAATGCAGGTGTTACTCATCCATTTGGACAAGGTGCCTCCTTATTGAAGGTACATTGCATCTGCATGTTGACCTCTGTAGTTACCACTCACAGGAAGCTTCCTACAGGAGTCTCATATGGAAGTTCTAGGTGTAACTCACCTGGAATAGTTCATCAACCTTCCTTCCAACACTACTGGCTGTCCCAGGTCTTGATGCTGTTTCAATAGAACTTACTGCCTCGTTATTTTTTACAGCACTGCTAGACACACCAACACCTGTGCTCTTCTTTCCCTTAGGTTTCGGCTTTGTCGCTGATAAAGAGTTCCCTGATTTCTTTTTACTAACTTTTCCACTGGCTTGGAGGAAAACCTACCAAAAAGGTTTCATGAAATTAATGAAAGACTGATTCTTGAAAAGTGGTACTTACATCAGCAGTCAACAGCACATACATCAGCAGTCTCTCAAATTGCAACCTTATTATTTCATCGCTAGCTTTCCTTTGATTAACACTACACGTAACATGACATGGATCTCCTCTCAAGATATACAATTAGCATGACATAAGATTATCTATATGTTAAACTTTCCACAGACAAGAACCTGTCAGTAAACAGACTTCTACCCTCATATGCTCAGGTCCTCCTGCACAACAGGAATAACTGAATTCACCTCTGACATGTACATGTAACTCCTTGTGTTACTGACTGGCCAATATGGTATGCTTAGAATTTTTACAAGTTAACAACAACCAATCAGAGACGGTGTTCATATTAATGTAGTTTCATCAACTATGTCTCCGGACTTCTCTTATGTCAAATCTAACATGTCTTTCCCGAAAGAAATAACTTAGAAGCATGTAAAGAGAGACTTCTGTTTACCCAGGCAAGCAAAACAACAAAACTGTACCAATTCTTCTTCTGCCTTTCTTTGGTTCTCATGTCGTTTTTCTTCTCTCTTTTTCTGTAGTTCCTGTATAGCAGCTTGTCTTGCTAGTCTTGCTTTCTCCTCACGTCTTTTTCTCTTTTCATCTTCCTTTTGATCTTTAAGTTCTTCCTGTGAATTAAACATTAAATAGGAGTAATGACACAGAAGAACATGTGAACAAACTTCATTATGAGCTTCAAAAGTAAGCTAGTTTCATAAACCACAAATTATCAACAAGTTGGA